CAAAACTAAGCAGAATGATGCAATTATATTGTAGGCATAAGCAGAGCCACACAACAGAAACATGATCCTGCTTGTGGGCAAATGGAGCAACTATAAGAATTTATGAAATCTAAACTACTATACTAAGAGTAATAAAAAGACAATGTAAATAATACGCCCAAGTATAAAATCAGGCGTAGCACTTACCTATTTATGAAACTTCTCTTTCAAACAAGCAAAACTGAACCTGGAAGGACGGAAAATAAAAGAATGAGTTGTGAAACTTAGTGAGTGATAACACATAATCTAAATATGTTGGGGCAAGTATCGAAACAAACACTTTCAAAAAGCCATTTCATAGAATTCAAATCAATAGAGTAAAACATTTTGGGAACCATGTCATCACTTTCAAATATGAAAATATCAATATATAATCACATATTTCAAAATAGTAAACAATTGATACACAAATCTCATATTTTTAGAATAGTGCGGGAGTTCACATACATAGCACTGAATGAGGCTCTAAGGCCTCTGATCATATCACAATATGGGGTTCGAGACCTCCAATCAGAACAGAATCATGATAAGCGTGCAATCACAGAACTGAACGGTACGTGTAAGCCAAACACGACGGGCTAGCATTATTACCTCTACCAGCTGGGTCAAAGTGCATCAAGGCTAGTAATGCCCTACTAGCTGAGGGTGTATCAGAGACTGCACAACACTATTATTTTCCAAAGTTCTTATCAAAATTCAAAACACATTTTTGGTTCCCTTTTCAAAATCAGCCGCAAATACTTATTAAAATCTATGGATCCTCATAAATAGAAATAGCATTTTTATTTTTTAGAAGCAAAATTCAATACATAACAAATTTCAAGGATGCATGTTTTCATGATACTTGTCCCAATTTTTTAAACAAATAAATCAATAATCATGTTATTTCATAGGTATCGAATGACTCTTTAAAACACATCAAATCATGTGAAGCTTGTAAGCATGATAGAACATTTGAAACATTTAAGCATATAATGCATTTCAAAATTTTAATAAATCACATATAAAGATTATGCAGAATCACTCACAGTGTAAGCCCAAACCGAAAGGTTCCAAGTGATGATATTGAGAGAGCAACAGCACAAAAAGGAAGAGTTCTCGTTGAACCTAAATCATAAATAGATTCTTGACACTCCGAATCAATAATGAAACCTTGAGATAATTGCATAACACTTCCACTCTAGAAGACCTCGTTTCAAACCCTAAGTTTTGGCAAGCACATGCTCAAACGGATATCTCATGAATCCGAATTGATACGAAAATAAATCTTTCATTAATCAAAGGAGACCGGATGGCCTTCTCTCTCTTCCATTCAGTTGTTATTAGTTAGAACCCATGAAGACAACTAGTTGTTCAGCTATTTAGGAAAGTGCTATAGAAGTCAAGAAAAAAAAAAAAAAGTTTCATAATGAAAGGGGGCACATTAAACCCATTTGTGTCATCCTATACGGCCAACCCAAGTGGCCTTAAGGCTGGAACCAGAGGGTAAGGCAAAATCTTATTTTAATTAAGGGTGACATTACGAATCTATTTTGAGTCCTCTTGCATGACCAGCTAAGGGAGCTTTCAAGGTCTATACATAATTGGGTGCATAAATTAAAGGTCTATACTCTAAATAATTCGCCATGTGGGTCAATGTAGGGATTATCTTACTTTAGTTAATTACCCACCAAAAGCAAATTGAGAATTCCACCACATGCCAAAGCTTGACTTTTTGAACATTATCTAATTTTATTAATTGGATCTATGTCCTGCAACTTAAAGCTCTCCAACTCCGAGACATAAATTCATTATTTACAAAGCACAAATCTGTACAATGAGAGGACCCGTAAGGAATAACCTCCAATACCCTTCTCGGCACACACCCAAAGACATTAAGAAGAAACATAGAAGTCTTACTAGTCCTGTGTTGGAATCGAAAAGTTAGCAGGTTGTCAGATAAAGTGGGTGGCCAAAATTTTCCCTCTCCAGTGGAGTGAACAGTTGACAGCAAGGGTATTGAGTGGTTGCTCGAGCCCTTAGACTGCAACCAGGTTCAAGACAGCCAGCTTAGCCTCATATTAGGTGAAAAAATGAAAGGAATAAGAGATGAAAGCTTACCATTGGCCAGGAAGGAGATCGGGTTTCACTTGACATCGACGGAGAATAATTTACAACTCTCTTTTTGTTGTTTGCTATTGCTGTCCATCCACTGCACAGAACACTTCGTGCCCTAGAAGCTTCCCCAAGATAGCTTCTCTCTTTCTCTAACTCTCTTTCTAGGTCACCCGACAGAGTCTCTAATAGCTGGAGAAACTTATAGTCAGAAGAGTCACTTGAAGAAGGCTCGACTATGAGATCATACAGAAATGTCTGGCCCTCCAATTGCAAGAACAAAGGCTGTCAATGGCTTGAGCTTGCAAAATAGGGGGCATGCGTAGCTAAAGGAAGAAGGGAAGTGCTCGCTTGAGGACATGCTCAACTAGGCGAGAGGGATATAGCGATTGAGCGATACCTCGTGGCTCGATTCAAAGACAGAGGAAGGAAAGAATAGGGAAATGAACATCAAAATGAGGTGATTTTTGGCTGGAGGGAAGCTGTTGACAGCAGCAAACATGTGCAAGAAGAAGGAGGATGAGAAAGGGAAAAGGACAGGCAATGGGATGCGGCTAGGGTTTCAACCCAAAAAAAAATCTTTTTTTTTTTCACCTTGGTCCCTTAAATCCACTCCTCTTACAAAAATGGCCCCATAGTTCTTATTCCTACATTTAAGGGCTTGAAATCCCAAAGCTACTTAATAATAGAAATGGGATGTTACATTATTCCATCATGGTCACTTGTTTGCCTCAATCTACTATAAATGAGTTAATAAAAATTCAGAGAAGATTCATCTGGGGTCACAACACTAATGAAAGGAAGACATATTAGACATAATGTAAGCCAAAATCTCAAAGGAGTTGAATATAAAAATATGATAAGATGAATGAAGTATGCATCATGAAGTTCAGTTGAAAACTGAAAAAGGGGAATATGGCTCCCTTAATAGAGGTTCTAACAGGATAATATGGTTGAGAACACAATTAGGCTACTACCACATCTGTTAAACTCATGGATTCAAACCTTTGAAGGGACATTGCTTAGGACTGGAAGGAGCTCCCTAGGTTTGTATTATATAGCTTGGGTGATAGAAGACTAAAGAGTTACTTTCAAATCATATTCCTACTAGTGGGCTATTTTATCTACAATATAAAGTCGCTAATATAGTGGATTAAAAGGGAACTAGTGTTAGCAGAGGTTGAAAGCTTGCTTGTGTTCATATTTGGTTTTTAGATTCCATGATGTCATTCCCCAGTCTTTGAATCAAGGTCACAGCTTATTAGCTTGTCTTGGTGAAGGGAAAGGATCATTCAACATTAGTACTTATAATCTCTTTTAGGGGAGACCTTTGAGAATAGAAATGGGTGCTAGAAGAAAGTGTAGAAGCTTAGAATAATAGAAATAATGAAAATGTTTGCTTGGTTGGCTATCCATGAAAAATCCAATACAAATGCCAGAAGATCTAATAAAGTGGATGCGACCTAGGTTGTCTTGAATGTGGAAACTAAGTCAAGGCGATTATGCATGTTCTTAGGAACTACTATGTTGCTATGAAAGTTTAAAGGAGCTTGATTGCCCCTTTGATGAGACCCATTTCTTTATTTTGGAATGGCAGTAGTGGATGGAATTGAACTCGATGGGTTCTTTTAGCTTAAATCTTGGGGATAATTGCATGTGCAAGTGGGTAATTACCATTTGGAATTTATGGAATTGGAAAAATAGAAATATCTTTGATGAAGGATTCCAAAGATTGTGGTAGTCCAAGAAAGTGATAGGTGGTGGAGGATGGCTTCCAATCTCACTAAAGTTGAGCAAACTAGACCTTAAAGTGATGGGAACTAACTTTAGGTGAGTTGGAACCCTTGCCTTGAAGGTTGGGTGAAACTAGGTATGGATGGATCTTTTAATCCTAGTAGTAGACAAGTTAGTTGCGAAGAACATGGGAGCTTGGATTAAAGGCTTCACCAACAATTTGGGAGAAAAACATTTGCAATTGTGGCTAAAGCTTGGTAGGCTGTGGGATGGTTACAAGTTGCTTAAGATTTGGGTGTTAAAAAAGTTACCTTGGAAATTGACACTAAGATGATAGTGGATAAGATTAAAAGGTGGTTTTAGTGATAGTGTTGCTATAGCTTATATCATTTTGAGAATCAAACTTCTTATTCGACAATAGTGACAATTTGAAGTGAAACATGTTTTTAAGAAGGGAAAGTATCTATGCTAATTTTCTTGTCAATTTTAGCCTTACTCATGAGTCGAATGCAAATGTTTGGATCTCTCCACCGTGTTGAGAGGGATGTTGTTAAATGATGTTAGGGAGTTTTTGCCCTCCAAGATATTATTTTATAGTTTTTTTTTTCTTATTTCAAGCATTGACTTCTCTTATTACTTAAAAAAAGAGAGATAGATCATAAATTAAAAAAATAATACCCTTATCAATATTATGATTAAGTTCATTATCAAATTTCAACAAGAAACATGGAAGGGTTAAAATTGCCGTTAATGATGGCTACAGTGGAGATAACAATAAATGAAACAATAGATCCCCCTCCAAAAAAAAAATAAGAGGGGACAAAGATTAGGAGTGTTTTAAGAGAGAAAGACATGCATATTTTTTAAATTAAATGATTAAATAAATTTGTAATTTTTTATTTTTAAGTTATTATTTTAAAGGATTTTTACAATAAAACAATTTTGCAAAATAAAAAAATTCAAGTATAGCATGAAATTGGGGGAATCAACCAAAATGCTAATGGCCGTAATACCGAAAACCAATGTATCATCTTTGAAGGCCATGCACACCCCGGACCAATTGGATTAGACCGGACTTTGGCTCAATTCCGAGTATCTATTTTCCACTTTCCCGTGTTCCTAGGGAGTGAGGCATGGCGCGCTCGAAAAAGCGAGGAAGCGCAACTTCACCGGGGGACAAAGCGGAAAACCGGCGTTCAGGCAAGGCCGAGCGTTCAGCGTACTTTGCTCGGAGAGAGGCAGCGAAGGTATTAAGGACCGTCCTCCAAGGAGATGCCAAACGCCGAGCCGTGGGTTCTATTAAGTCGCTGGTATACTGCCCCTCCCTTAGAAACAAAAGGGGCACCTTTGCTCTGGTTTGTCAAACCCTCAAGTGTAAGTTCCTGCTTTCTTCTCTATCCTCCTTTGTACATTTTTCCCCCCTTCTTCTTCTTCTTCTTCAAATGGTCTACTGGATCGAGCTATTATGGGTTTTTATTTTTTTAAATATATTCTCAACTTACAGAGTTGCAAATGCATAACTAATTTTTGGTTATTGCTGGTTTGATAAACGGGTATTTGATTTAGTGGATAAAATAACTATTGGAAAGATGATTATCTTTCATTTAGTTCTTTATTTATTGCTGAATTATGAGAGACATGTATTAAATTGCTTTTCCTTGTGGATTTATTTTTACCGTGATTTCTTCGGCATTTTCGCACAATGACTGCCATTTACTAGTGAGCTCAAGTATAATATGCTTGGGTCAAAGCTTAGAGCATGGCTCTTGAGAAGATTTCATGTGTTACGGAACTAGTCTTAATGAAATTAAGCGCTAATAATAAAGTTATGCTTCCAATTTTTTGTTTTAAGGTTCTAATCATTAGAGCAGCTTTTTTGCGTGGTAGACACATATCAGCACAAGCTAGCTAGAACAATGTTACAGCGAATGTATATGAGAATTGTATTGATAGTACTTACAATTATACTCTTGCCCTCTGGGCTGAAAAGATTCCTTTCTAAAATAACCGATTCAAAATTATGGGTCAGAGTCTTGTCATCAGCCATAGGCGTATAAGGAGTCTTGTCATCAGCAATAGGCGTAATAGGTTTCTGTACATACGTTATTTTAATTGGATTTTAGTAGGGTCTATTTTGTTTATTCACTAAATTTCTAGAGAAATTCGTTCATCCTTATAAGATTGACTTACAATTATTCTCACTAGTTTTGTTCTTTGCACTAGTGTCAAAATGAATCCTTTTTATGTGCAGTGAAGTTTAGAACTGGAGTTTTTGACAAGGCAAAAGGAGATTTGTTTTGTCAAATTTGATAAGTCATGGCATCCATTTAATGCTTTATTTAAACTTGAAGACCTCGTGTTTTGATGTAAATTTGTATTTTATCTTTCCTTTGCAGATCTCTCTATAATCAAGGATGTTTTGGACTCTTCCAAAATATTGAATAGCAAGTGGAAGGTAAACAATTTCCTTGAAATCTATTACTATTGTAACAGTGTAGGCATTGTATACTTCTTCAAGTGTAGTGTAATAACTCTTTCTTCAATTTGTATTTTTGCCCTTTCGACTTCTTTTTCTCTGCTTAGTTGATTGAGAGAAACAACTCTTTGTAGTGGTCCTTGTGCGGCCCCCTGTTTCTATGTTTTGCCTCTCTTATGTTTTTGTAATATGTTCCTAGAGTAATGGTTGAGGAAAGACTTGGTTTGGTGAAAAAGATTGCTCCACCAGTAACCCTGGGACATGGGGATTAACAATGACGATAAGCTTTCCCCAAATCCTTAGTGGTGAGAGGCATGTCCATTGATTTGTTGTTATTTGTCTCCATAATAGTTTTTATGGTAGGATATTTTATTTATATTGTTTTTGGATGACATTGTTTGATGGATAAAAGAACTTAGATAAGTGAAATAGATTTGTGAAGAAGAATGAGCCATCTTTTTAGTGAATGAAAAATGAATCTAAGCAAGGGATGTAAATCCATATAGCTTGCCTCATTGCCAAGTCATTTCTTCTAAAATGACTTGGCATAATTGTTGGCCTTTTGAGTTGACCTCTAGACAACCAGATAATGACACATGTATTTGGTTGTGCACAATACCCGAGGTATCATTTTTTGGCTTTGTGAGTTGACACCTAGGCCAACCAGATAATGGCACATGCATCAGATTGAGCAACTGTCCATGACACTCTACTTCCAGGAGCTAACAATTGGGGCAATTTCCGTAAACAATTTCCTTGAAATCTATTACTACTGTAACAGTGTAGGCATTGTATACTTCTTCAAGTGTAGTGTAATAACTCTTTCTTCAATTTGTATTTTTGCCCTTTCGACTTCTTTTTCTCTGCTTAGTTGATTGAGAGAAACAACTTTTTGTAGTGGTCCTTGTGCGGCCCCCTGTTTCTATGTTTTGCCTCTCTTATGTTTTTGTAATATGTTCCTAGAGTAATGGTTGAGGAAAGACTTGGTTTGGTGAAAAAGATTGCTCCACCAGTAACCCTGGGACATGGGGATTAACAATGACGATAAGCTTTTCCCAAATGCTTAGTGGTGAGAGGCATGTCCATTCATTTGTTGTTTTTTGTCTCCATAATAGTTTTTTATGGTAGGATATTTTATTTATATTGTTTTTGGATGACATTGTTTGATGGATAAAAGAACTTAGATAAGTGAAATAGATTTGTAAAGAAGAATGAGCCATCTTTTTAGTAAATGAAAAATGAATCTAAGCAATGGATGTAAATCCATATAGCTTGCCTCGTTGCCAAGTCATTTCTTCTAAAATGACTTGGCATAATTGTTGGCCTTTTGAGTTGACCTCTAGACAACCAGATAATGACACATGTATTTGGTTGTGCACAATACCCGAGGTATCATTTTTTGGCTTTGTGAGTTGACACCTAGGCCAACCAGATAATGGCACATGCATCAGATTGAGCAACTGTCCATGACACTCTACTTCCAGGAGCTAACAATTGGGGCAATTTCCGTAAACAATTTCCTTGAAATCTATTACTACTGTAACAGTGTAGGCATTGTATACTTCTTCAAGTGTAGTGTAATAACTCTTTCTTCAATTTGTATTTTTGCCCTTTCGACTTCTTTTTCTCTGCTTAGTTGATTGAGATAAACAACTTTTTGTAGTGGTCCTTGTGCGGCCCCCTGTTTCTATGTTTTGCCTCTCTTATGTTTTTGTAATATGTTCCTAGAGTAATGGTTGAGGAAAGACTTGGTTTGGTGAAAAAGATTGCTCCACCAGTAACCCTGGGACATGGGGATTAACAATGACGATAAGCTTTTCCCAAATCCTTAGTGGTGAGAGGCATGTCCATTGATTTGTTGTTTTTTGTCTCCATAATAGTTTTTATGGTAGGATATTTTATTTATATTGTTTTTGGATGACATTGTTTGATGGATAAAAGAACTTAGATAAGTGAAATAGATTTGTAAAGAAGAATGAGCCATCTTTTTAGTAAATGAAAAATGAATCTAAGCAATGGATGTAAATCCATATAGCTTGCCTCGTTGCCAAGTCATTTCTTCTAAAATGACTTGGCATAATTGTTGGCCTTTTGAGTTGACCTCTAGACAACCAGATAATGACACATGTATTTGGTTGTGCACAATACCCGAGGTATCATTTTTTGGCTTTGTGAGTTGACACCTAGGCCAACCAGATAATGGCACATGCATCAGATTGAGCAACTGTCCATGACACTCTACTCCCAGGAGCTAACAATTGGGGCAATTTCCAATAGGTCCTCTGGATGCTTGACTCTTCCCCATTTTTCTAGGGGATTATTTCAACAAAAAACTATTGAATTTGTTTGCTCTATGCTTGCTCATGATCCTAATAGAGGTAAGCTTGATGTTGGATGAAGATGAAATGAGGACCATAGTCTTAGATGTGTTGGGATTTTATTTGTTTTTGGAAACTCTTATATTTATTGGTTTTGGAAGTTCTAGATCTATTAGAATTTCTAGTTATTCTAAGAATTTTAAGTTTTAGTAAATTTGGTTTTTAAAAATCTTTTGTTTTTGAATTGGGAATCTAAGAATCTTTTGATTTATATTTGTATATGTTGGTTTAATAAATTGAATTTGAATGTTTGATGATTAGGGATTAATATTTGATATTTCTCCCTCTCTCTCTTTCTCTCTCTCTGTCCCCCTCCCTTCTCCCTGTTGTTTCTGATCTCTTTTCCTCCCCCTTCGCCCTCTTTATCCTTCTATCTCTCTTACCTCTTTTTTGCGTAATCACCCTTTGTTTTGCATCATAGTGCTGTGAGTCTCAAGTAACATTCTTGTTTATGCGTCCAACAGTAGCTCAAGCTCCTCGAGAGGGGGAAAATGCAGAGGGTGTGGATTTTAATGCATAATCATTTCTTACTTGTCAGGATAAAATAAATCTGGTGTTACCATTATGATATGGTCTATGGAAGCTCGTGGATAATAAGTTGAATTGATTTCCTTAGGCAAAATAAATGCTAGTCTGTGTGTGTGTCTATGTGTATACAAATATGCTACTTTCTCTGCTGTTGATTTTTGAACTTTCAAATCTCTTGTAGATTTATTGAGAAAGCTCCTAAATTCCATTCTTTCTCCCCTATTAAAAGTTATCACTTTCTTTGTTCTAAGTAGAAACACTAGAATTCCTCTTACCTTTTCTCCTTCTTCCAGATTAACAAAAGCTTGAAATAAATTTGAATTACCTTGTCTTCACTCCATTGCTTAATTAAAAATATTTTAGCTTTATCTACTCTAATAGATCTTTGATGATGAAAAAACTCATCAGTTTAATCTGATAATGAATAATTTAATCCATAAACCTTGTTTCAATAATAAGATTTCCCAGAAATGATATCCTCTAAAGTTAACAATGAGTTGAAAAGGTAAGAAAGTTCTGAAATGAAGGGTACAGTATCTTCCAAATTAATTTGTGGGCTTTGATTATTAAGGGGATTTGTGAATTTTAGTCTTCTATGATTTTGTCTGTCGTAGAGATTTTGTAAACTGTACCTTAACCACTATGATACCAACACATTTCCCGTAGTCTATTAAAACCCAAATTTTGAAGAATTTGACGGTATAAATGGAGCACCACATGAGAATCTAGATCATTTGTATCTATGCTGTGAATCTGCATAAATTGATGCCTCATTAGCTATGCAATTATGCCACCTCTTTTTTAGTTTTACTGCTAACAAAACAAAGGGAATGGTTGTGTAGAGTAAAACAAAGATAAAATGAAAGGAGAAATCAATAATTTCTTCTCCAAAAGAAATCAAAGATGCAACATAAATTTTCGTAACACATGGTGAAGCCTAAAGCTTCAGTAGCTTGGGAAATTGACCAAACAATCTGCTGTGCAATTGTGCTCAGACAATTTGCCATCAGAAATTGCTACATTGTTACCCACAGCAAAGTTTCAGACTTTGGTCCAGTGGTTGCAGATATCAGCAATGTTGACAGATAGATTTCAAGTTTCATCTCAGATATCTTGATCCACAGAAGAAAAGAAATATAGCAGAACCTGAAGTTGAAAACTGCCACCTTCGTTGGTGTTAATGCCAACAAAACAAAATGAAGTGACAGTGGAATGGGGAAAAAAAATAACAAAAAGGAAAGAAAGTAAAAATCTCTAATACCTGCTCCAGAAGAAAGAAAATAGTGAAAATATGGCTTCAAAGACACTGATCTAGAAGAAATTCTTAGTTGCTTACTTACGTACGGTGCAAAGTTCCCTGTCCGTGGTACTAACCAATTTTATAATATCCTTTTACTAATGAAGAATCTATGGGTTTTCTTTATGTGTGTTAGATCATATTTGTTGTTTTATCTCATTTTATTCTCAAACTCAATAATCAATTTTGGTCTGACAAAGTTCTTTGCTGGTTGTTATCTACCTAATACAATTTCAGAATTAAAATTAAATTTGGTGCGAGCCCAATTGAAATTAAATTTAATTCAAGGCAAATTTACATGATATTCAATATCTCAATAGCTTTATTTGTAGTTCTCTAGAACTACTTTGACATGGTTCCATCCAAATGGATTTGTCGGCAGCCTAATGGGTTAGTCATAATTTTGAATTTGATCAATTTAAATCATGCGCTCCTTACCATTTGTGTAATGTGAAAATTTGTTAATTGGAGAAATTTTCTTCAATTGCATAATAATTTATTTAGTCACCCACCTTTATTCAAGTCAATTGAGTCAATTAAGTTCCAAGTAATTAATTATAAAATTTCAGATGGAATAAAAATTAATTACATAACATTCTCTTATTAATAAAATTTCAAATTACATCACTAACTACAAACTCGCTTCATTCCTAATGAAGGGTGCATAGATTGACCAAAATTTAGATTTGATGCAGCCACAAAAATGAAATAAATCCATTTGGCACAAAACCTCAAGCTGGAATTATGTCAAATAAGGGAGTCATGATGAACACTTAAAAGTATTTATAAGATTGGAATCAAGAGGTTTTCTCTTTTTACCAAGTGGAAATTAAATTTGTGAAGCTTCCCGAGGAAGGTGATTTTTGACTTGGAGAAATGTTGGCCAGTCAAGAGTTGGCGATTGAATTCACCCATTCACTATATGCACGCGCACACGCGCGCGCGCACAGACACACACACACACACACATATCTACATACATGTATGTATGTATGTATGTATGTATTTATGTTTGTGTACACACACGTATGTGTGTGTGTGTGTGTGTGTGTGTGTGTGTATGTTTATATATGCATATATATGTATGTATGTATTTATATTTTCTATTCTTTTGTATAAATATATAGACATACATATTTTTGAAGTGATATTAAGCACTCTGTTGTGATGATTTTTAATTGCATTACTATTATTTTACTTGATAGATAATTGAATTGGTGTTTTACTAATTCAATCTATTGTTGTTGATGCAGAGGCAAGAAGAATTGATGTACATAATCTCCTATGACATTCTTTTTGGCCAGGTTGTTAATTTTCCTGTTGATAACCACTTTAATTCTTCAGATGTGACATTGCTTATATATCTGTAGGGGGAAAAATTCCTATGCAATGATAAGATATTGATACATGCCAATGGACTTTGTGGTCCAACAATTTTCCCTTATTAGTGAAAAGTTTGTTTTCAAAACAAAGTTGAAGCCATACCCTCTAAGACAGAAAGCTTTAGTGCACAACTTGTTTTGTTTGTATATCCCATAGCAGCACGTGTGAACCTCCCGGTCTCTGGGTGGGAATTTGATCATGTTTGGGATTATAGAAGCAATTCCACACCCCCGCACCTGCTTCCCCGAGTATCTTATTCGTTAGGCATTGGGCAGGAAGTGGAAGCCTTGCTGTATAAAATGAAGTGACAGTGGATTGGAAAACAAAATAACAAAAAAGAAAGAAGGCAAAAATCTCTAATGCCAACTCCAAAAGAAAGAAAATAGGGAAAATATGGCTTCATAGACACTGATCTAGAAGAAATTCTTGGTTACCTCCTAAAGTATGACACGAAGTTCCCTGTCCATGTATTATCCAATTATATAACATCCTTTTCCTAATTGAAGAATCTATATATTTTCTTTATGTGTGTTAGGCCATATTAGTTGTTTTATCTCATTTTATTCTCAAATTCTATAATCAATTATTGGTCTGATAAAATTATTTGCTGGTTGTTATCTACTAACACAATTTCAGTATTAAAATTAAATTTGGCGCAAACCTAATTGAAAATTAAATTTGATCCAAGGTAAATTTACATGATATTTGACATTTCAATAGCTTAATTTGTAGTCCTCTACAACTGCTGTGATGTGATTTCATCCAAATGGATATGTCAGGCAACCTAATGGTAATTCTGTTAAGTCATAATATTAAAATTGATCACTTTAAATCATGTGCTCCATAGTATTTGTGTTATGTGAAAATTTGTTAATTTGAGAAATTTTGTTCAATTGCATCCTTATTTATTTAGTCACCCACCTTTATTCAAGTCAGTTGAGCTAATTAAGTTCCAATTAGATTATATATTCTCATATTAAGTTCCAAGTAACCTGTTGATAACCCCTTTAATCCTTCAGATGTGACATTGGTTATATATCTGTATGGGGGGAAAATCCTATGTAATAATAATATATTGATATATGCCAATTGACTTTACAGTCCAACAATTTTCCCATATTGGTGCAAAGTTTGTTTTCAAATAAAAGTTTAGCGCATAATTGGTTTTGTTGGTATATCCCATAGCAGTGCATGTGAACCTCCCAGCCTCTGGGTGGGAATTTGATTATTTTTTGAATTATAGAAGCAATTTCCACCCCCGCCCAAAAATAAAATAAAATAAAATATTATTTGTTAAGCACTGGGCCTGGAAGTGGAAGCTTTGCTGCATATTTCTAACGTGTGAATAGTTGTTATATATTGTTATTAACGCCGTTTTGTGCTGAACTGAAAAAAAAAATATTTCTTTGTCTTTAAAATATGGTGCATCTAGTTACTAACTAGTGATTGGAAATTAAATAATTTTTTTATCTATGGTGATCTTTCTTGAGTGCTCTTTTAACTTAAAACATTTTATGTAGGCAGCTTCATTAATTGGCGATGCAGAAAAGTTTCTCTTGCTCCAGAAAGATGCTTTACAGTCAGCTCTAGCTCAGCTTTTAGTAAAGAAGGGCATGAAAAACATCAAAGAGTTGATGGCTTGTCAGCAAATTTCTGGTCTGTATGTATATTGCATGTGCATGGTAGATGTTGTCTTGTTATTGATAAAACAAGAAAACATATATGGGTTGGTGTTAATAGCACAAGAGCACTGGATGCTGTCCAACTTCGATGTTAAGCTTATTTGGATGAGAATAGTAGTAGAATGTGTGATCTCTGTGGGAGTCTTGCACTACTTTGTTCATTTGGCCCAGAAAATGTGAACTGATTTTATTTGTTAGGCATGAACAAAAATATGAGGGTGAGCCTTCAGTCAATAATAAGGTTACTCATTTGTAACTAGGTCATGGGTTGGAGTAATAGAAGCAACCCTTAAGTAGGGGTAATGTTGCTTCCACCCGATACCCTCTTGCAGCCTTCGCAAGGCAGGGCTCACAGTTATGAGCTTCCCTTTCAGGGATCAACACAAACAAAAATTTATAATGCATTAAGACATTCAAGCTTAGTTTGCTGATCTCACCGAAGGAAGCTTCTTCAGTTCAAACACGTGAAATCCCTTTATGCCTCAAATTATCCAAATCTACCTTAATATTGTTAAAAAGCCAACAATGATTCCAATCCTTGTAAATGCATGCTTGACAAAAGGTGAGGTTGAAAGATACTATAATCTGTGGAATGGCAGAACAGAACAATATGATAGTCTCTGATAAATCATCTTCCTTCTTGTGTAAGATGGGGTGTAACTTGACACTCTGGTACGCAGTGCTTTGCTTCTCATATGGAGTAGATTTCTAATGGAGTTTGTTTCCTAGTTAATATTAGGCACTTGTGTAATGATGCTCTTGAGATTTGTCTGTAACAACTTTCATCTGAATATGGCCTTTAATATCTGTCACAGATACTTCAAGACCTCAATATGTTCGTGTAAACACTCTTAAGCTGGATCTGGTGTCGGCTTTACAAGAATTGCGGAAGCAAAACATGGCATTTTCTGCCAACTGTATGATAAGCTGTCCAATTTTCATTGTTGCCTACTCTTCTTGTATGCTTGTCTTTGTCTTTAGCAGGTATAGGCCCATAATTACCACTCACTTTTTTCCCCTTGTTAGATAAAATTCTCACATAAAACAAAGAAGTGGTTGAAATTTTGGCTCCTGCCTTGAAATTAATTCAGAGATATGTTCAAAAACATTATCTTTACATGAGTTACAAGTTACATTTGTGTATTACTATGAGCAGTGTGGACAAAGATAAGAGGCCAAAAATAACATGAATGTCAAATAAAGAGTTATCGGTGTTTTTGACATCTTGTTTGTTCTTGAAGCTTCAAATTTATGTTGATTTACCATAGATGCAACATTTAAAAATAATGATCTATCTCTCTGTCAGTTATTATTTTTTCCTCCATGATGTGATATACCTACTTGCATACATTTTGTCCTTTATTACTTACCATTGTCAGTTGGAAAGCTGATCTTACTTTGCTTTTCTCTACCGTTTACTAATTTTAGTACATGTAGAAGGGAGGAAAAGTAATCTTTTAAAGGTTTGTAGACTCGAGTAAATCTTTAAACGGAATTACCAAGTGAATGGGGGTGTTGTTACTTGTGTTAATTGAGGTGATGATATGAATACAAGATGGCGCGATTATCCCAATGAGTACCTTTTATTTCTTGCCACAACTTTTCTTGTACTATGTTTAATTTTGAATGCAATGCTTCTTTTCATGGGTCGATGTCCTCTTTGATTTGTTTTGAGTTACAATTGTATAGTTCTATGCATTGAATAGGTTCATGAAGATGACATGGTTCCTGATTTGTTGGTGCTTCCACCTGGTGTTGACCTCCACAGTCATCCTTTGGTCGCTAATGGCAGTATCTTTTATGCAAGTAAGTATTGGTTTTGTTGTTTGTTTCAAGTTCCAGTTTAGAGCCCTTGATTTGGTTGGATTATTTGGTATGAAGTATTATGATTTTATGCCTTATGTGATCATTTGTCTGTTATATTTTTCTTCTTACTCTTAATTCATGTGGATGTCCATTTTCTTTCACCAGGGGAGGGGGAGTTCCATGGTAGCAGTAGCCCTTCAGCCTAAACCAGGATGGCTGGTTAGTTATGAACCTTTTATATTGTTTAAGCTGGGGCTGAGTAGCTTGAGCTAATTACTTTTCAATTGTATTGTCTTGAATGACTTGACCCATGATTACTGTTGCTTTGTCAAAGGTTCTAGATGCATGTGCTGCACCGGGGAACAAAACTGTGCATCTTGCTGCTCTCATGAGAGGAAAGGGGAAAATTATAGCTTGTGAACTTAACAAAGAAAGAATTCAACGACTGAAGGAGACTATCAGATTGGCTGGTGCTGCTAGTATCCTTTCAGAGATTCTGTCATCCAGTGAATGCTGTCTCTAGTAGTTGCACATTTGTCATTCTCCCTATTTGTTTAGTGGTACTGACAGAACAACAAGCATGATCTGAAATACATTATGTTTTTACATGCATGCATTCAAATGCCTTCCATTCTAATCATCATAACTGCTGTCCTGATCTGCTTTTGGCTTGTCCTTTCAATAATCATGATCTAAAATTATTAAGTTCTTCATATTCACCAGCGATCATTTTTGTATGGGTAGATGTCAGTCAACTTAACCTGTGCTTTAGATGTGGAAGTTCTACATGAAGACTTCTTGAACTTGAATCCACAAGATCCTCCATGCTCAAAGATAACGTACATGAGCAGGGGCTAGTGATACTCTGTCCCAATAATATTTTGCCTAAGGGATGAGTTTGAGTTGGCAGCTGATGGAAGTCACAGAAATTCAAGAGGAAAAACATTGAACTGTTGTCTGGCAAGATAAAGGGGTATGTTTACATAGTTTGCAAGACATAGGAAAGTGGACCATATATCTGAAGGACCCTCGTCAACTAATGGAGGTGTAGTAGTGCTAAAGCAAACCATTAGGTTCTCAAATGCATGAATTTATTCCTCCTGCATACTAACTTTCTAAAGGTTGGGTTCATAATATTTGGAGAGCAATAAGGAAAGGAATTGAAAAGAGAAAAAAAAAAAAAAAGACAGATTGACAGAGAAATTCTTTAGGTCATCCCCTACCAAACTCTTAAATATCTGAGCCTTCTCTTTTACAACTGAAAAGGGGGCTTTGTTATTTATTTGCTTCAATTTCTTATTAAAGATGGTTTGGGATATAGAGCAGACTAGAATAAATAGATCTCTCTGCGAGGCCCTTCACCAAGTAACGAGAACCAAGGCTCATTGGTCCACTGATTTGAGGTTTGAATTTAAGAAGTGGATAATAGCAGGGATTCAATGATTTTGATTTAGTATATTGAATTTTTTAAACTATACACAGCAGAGATTGCACTGCTATCTGAATCCTAATCTTCATCTTCTTCTTGCTTTTTTCTTCTTTCCAGGTTCATGTTATTCTCTTAGATCCTTCGTGCTCTGGATCTGGGACCACTGCCATTAGATTAGATCACTTGCTACCTTCGCATGGCACAGGTGAATTTTGGACTCATTTTTTTGGAGGTTCTCATTCCTTTTATTGTCTGCATGCCCTTTGCCTTTTCCTTATTTGTTTGAAGTTGCCTTGCTACTTCCATCATATTTACTAAAGCTACAATAAGTCCTTTCATTCATGACACGCGCGCGTGCACACACTCTCTGGTTCTCTCTCTAATTTTCTACATCAGGAAAATACTTCTGTGTTGAATGATTCCTTTCTTAAGAGTTGTGACATATTATACTTCAATGCTAGCTAATGCTCTCCTCTCCCTGTCCCCTCTCCCCACACTTAGTCTCTGCTAATCATTATTGTTTTGATTTTGGAACTCTTTTTACACCTTTGAACACGATAAAGTTAATTAACCAGTTGTCTAATTGAGCATTAGAACTAGAAATATTAATTGACCAACCTGAATTGTACAGCAAATTCATATTTAGATTTTGTGCCAAGATTGTTAGTATATTGCGAGGGGGGTTATTTTCTTACCTAAAAGAGTTATAACACTCTGCAATATTATGATATTGCATACTGTAGTATTGGACCCATTATGCAAATATAGCGGAGTTTGAGTACCAATAAAATTCTTCTTTACAGTTATCATCAAAGCAGTCTATTAACATTTGGTATCTTCACCTTCAAAATGCCTATCAGAAGAAGGCATAAGTCCTGATGCCAATCACCGTTCCCTTTCCCAGCCTCTTCAATTTTCACAACCAGTCTCATTTTGGCCACCTGCACAAATTCACTACAGTTATTGCTATCTATAAAATCTGTGCTTTTTTTTTAGCTTTTTTTAACACCAGTTTGTTCTGTAATTATTGAGAGTTCGTTTTTGAGATTTTTTGTTTGTTTTAGATAAAAGCTCCAAACTATCAAAAAATCGAGACCTAACTCCTTGTGTTTTTTTTTTGGTTTTTTTGGAAAAAAAAAAAAGGGGTCTACATAAACCAAACAACATCTGACTATCAACATTTTCAATATACCTAGAAGTTCTAAGGAAGATAAAGGCAAGGGTATATATTTTTTTTGGTGAAAACGATGCCTTAGAGGAGTTAAATTCAATAAAATTAATACTCTGGCGATCAAACTTAATAACAATCGTCCCAGAAGGAGATTCTCGATCAACAGTAGAATTAGACCTTTTATTGAGATCTGTTTGGGGGTAGGGGGGTGTTTTTTTTACACATTCAGCTCTTAAAACTTGTTCCAACTCTCTGGTGCTATGGACTTTTTTTATTTGACTTTTCTTCTTCAACCTTAGTAAACCTTGATTTCTTATATTTGATAGAGAAGATTTGATTAACCTCTGATTGTTTTATTTTGCCAAAATGCTATTATATAGGGAATGCTGATGCTACGAACTTCGATCAACTAAGAAAGCTTCAGGCTTTCCAGACAAAGGCATTGGCGCATGCTTTGTCCTGTAAGTCTCAATCTTTTGTCAATTCAATTTGACAATTTCTTTTTTAAAATTTCTTTTCTCATCACCTTCCCTGGTAATGGTACGAGGATATTATCGATAATTATTTGTCATGCAAGTTACTTGGAGCTCTCGTAAAGTTTAGTGAAATTTTGAATATTGGGCCCTTTTTAGGCTTAAAGGTTTTTGTGATGGCAGGAAAAAGCGTGGCTTTTTTTTTTTTTTTTTTTTTTTTTTGAGTCTGGTTCACAAGCTTTTTTGGACTGTAAAATGTGAGATACTTTGGCCAACAAACTCCCATTTTTACACCCCCCCCCCCCCCCAACAAAAAAATAAAAAAAGAAAGAAAAGGTAATTCACATAGCTTGTTGACCAAAAAATATGTGGCAACCTAGTTTCTTGCAACGAGAAGATGAATTTTTTGGGGAAGCCAGGCTCTGAACAGGCAAACCAAATGCCCAAAGAGAACTTCCAGCTTTGCGATAAGAAGCTAGCTTTTCATTCCCAAGCCAAAAGCGGTTGGCTTGAATTATAGAATAATACCTTATTGGCTTGTTTCTTCTACAGCAGTGTTGCAATTTTTATGCAACAAATTTGTACATGGAGCGGACTAAGCTGTCAAACATTCCTTTTACAATATTAAAAACAGAATCCTCTTGTTGTACTCTTTATTTTGCATGTGTTACACAATCGTCCCATACTGAATGTTGATGGAAACGTGTTTAATGTATTTGTTTCAGTTCCTGCTGTTGAGAGAGTTGTGTACAGCACGTGCTCCATATATCAGATTGAGAATGAAGAAGTTATTAAGTCCATTTTACCGCTTGCTTCATCTCTTGGTTTCGAATTGGAAACTTCATTTCCCAGTGGCTTCGCCGTGGTCTCCCTGTTGTTGAAGGATGTGAGTTCTGCCTTCACCTCAACTGAAATAGTTATGACTGACTTGCATAATAAAGAGAGTGCTTCATAAACTGAACATACACCAAGCAATGGGTTTCATATACCGTAAGATTTACACCTGTCCAGCAAGTTATAATATTCTTCCTTTGTATTGTGGTTTTTCAGCTGAACATTTGCTTCGTACCGACCCTGTCCAGGATAAAGAAGGATTCTTCGTTGCTTTATTTGTGAAGCGAATGAAATTGGGTGGTAGCTCTTCTCTAGCTCTCGAAAATGTTATATCAAGCTGTGGGAAGAAATCCAATCCCGGAGAAAGGCGCAAGTTTCCAACGTGGTGTTACTCACCTAAAATGTCCAAAATGTTGTTGCGTCCTCAGTTACGTGCGTACAGACGGCCACCACAGGACGGCCGCCGCCGCCAATCCGCTACAAAGTAGAAACTCACCTGCTTTACATGAATCTTCACAACTAATTTTGGTTGGCGAGAAGTCACCTTTGTCTTAGTGCTTTTTTTCTAACGATATTAGAAATCGAGATTTTGTAAATTAAGAGGAAAATCATCATTTGAGAAACAATGTTGCATTCTATAAACATTAGTGCAGAATATTTTTATAATAATTGTAAAAAGCTCCTTTTTGCTTTTTTTTTTTTTTAAATTGATTGCAACGTTTCCTGACCAGCTTCCCGCACCAAAGCAAAATTTGTTCATACCCAAATAAATTCTCCAAGTCTTCCGCCTTTCATAGAGATTATCTGCCCCATTTATTACCTTGTCAAGATCAAGGGATTTTGGTAAGATAGAACTTTGTTTTGGAATTCTGTCATTAATCATTTTTATACTTATTACATCCAATTCCCCTTTTTTAATTTTATTAATACTTTGGAAGCCGGAGAATTGAGAAAGGGAGAAGGATGTGAAAGAGAAGGACAAAAACAAGGAAAACACACTTGAGTTCAATAAAAAGATGAAAGCTTCATTTCCACACAGCCATAAACGTCTATAGTCCACACACTCAGTGCTCTTGCTACGATGTAACCAACTTAAAAGAACAATAGAGAATATATATTAAAACCCGAACACGCGCACCCACCAGAGGACACTCGCGCCTCGCGGCGTACAAGAACGAACACACGCGCACTAATACTCGGGGAACACGAAAATACAGGGAAGAGAAGCACGATGTGACGAGAAGTTGATCAAGCGATCTTGACCTCAATGGTCTTTGGCTTCTTTGGCTCAGGAGGAGGCAACTTCTGGACAGTGACGGTGAGCACTCCGTCCTGGCAGACGGCCGAGATAGCATCGGTGTTTGCATTTTCTGGCAGGACAAACTTCCTCATTAACTTTCCCATCCTCCTCTCCATCCTCACGTACTTTGCCCCCTCTTTGTCTTTCTCCTCCTCCCTCTTCCTCTCTCCGCTTATCACGAGGACATTGTCGCCCTCCACCTGCACCTTTATCTCCCTTGACTTTAGACCGGGCATATCGATTATGAACACGTACGAATTTGGGTACTCCTTAACGTCCGCTGGAGTCGTCGCCATGGCCTTGGCATCTCGAACGTATGCACTCGAAGGAGCGTTTGAGGACTTGTCATCAGCCGCCGCCATGTCCATCATCTGCTGCAAAGTGTGCAGGATCGGCGAGTCCCAACTACTCATTACTCTGAAATCCATCTTCCTTTTCCTGCTTGACACTGGAATTTTTGGTTGCTAAACGATTGCTGAATTCTATAGGATGATGGTATAAAATCTACCACCTTGACTTAATGCAATAAGGGGGCCAAGGGATGGATCGATATATATAGAGCAGAGATTGGTGGGGACGGGAAGTTTCTGGATAGATGAGGAATGCAGAGGAAGAAATGTTCTAGGAGGTTCTGTTTTGAGTCCAGAAAGTGTTGGAATGTTCCGTTAAATAGAAACCCGAATCCCATCTGTCATTCGTGGATTTATTATCGAATTTGAAATGGAAAAGTAAAGTTATGATGTAAGTGGTGGCCCACAAAAGACTCAGAAATCAAGAAACTTAAAATAAAAGCATTTTCTATCTAGGAATAAAAAATATAAAGTAAAATTAAATGTAGAAGGTAAGGGTACAAAAATTTTTTTGAGGAGAATAAAAATTTATTTTATATAATGATTGTATTATAATAATAAAATTTATTTAAGCTTAAAGGGTCACAGCCCTTTTAAGAGTACGTTGGTAAATACTATCATTTTTTTGGGACAAAAACACTATTATTTTTTTATTATCGGTGAATTTCATTTACTTATATACCCAAAAATATTCACCAAGTTGAATATTTTTTTTAAATTGTTTGTTAGTTTGTATATTTTTAATTAAAACAAAGTTAATATTTAATAAGAAAGTTGATGGAAAATCAAATAGTTTTAATGTGGCTTACTCATGGGATGGGAGTAACAAAGAAATATGATGTTCACTAATATGGGGGAAATGAGAGAATCATACAGGACATGCAATAAAATAAACGACAAAAAAAGAAAGAAAAAGAAAAATAAAAGACATATAAGTAGACATGCCAAGTAGAAAACAAGTTATATTACAAATAAACGAATAAGTGAAAATTAAAATAACTACACATATATATGTATATAATTTTCATAAAAATATTTAAAAAATAAATTTGACAATAAAATATATTAATTTGTACACATAAAATTTTTATTTATTTATTTTTTAAGAAAGAAGGTTCATTTTAACACGTCAACTTCATACACAATATCTATTTAAGAATTATATAATATCTATTGAATAATTGGTGTAAATTCCATTTAAACCCCTCAACTTAGGTTTTGGACCATTTAAGCCTCTCAACTCAATCATTACTTTTCTAGAACCTTAAATATTACTAATCCAACCTTGGCATTCCCTAGTTAATATAAGAAACTCTATTCCTAAACGGTGACATGGCGGGTGACATGTGAGTGACATGTCTCCCCTTTCAAGTAAGCTTCAATGAGAGGGGTGGGGGGAGGAGAAGAGGCAAAAAGAAAGCATATGCAATAAGAAAAATAAATAATAAAGAGAAACATATACAGATAAATTGATTTATTATAAAAATTGACGAGATAGGAGATACTATTATAAAAATTGACGAGATAGGAGATACTAGTAGACGGTATTGTCACCGCTACCATAAGATCTATTTTTGGAGATCAACACTCTCACAATGAGAAATAGGTTAGCTCCCACCTCCAATTTTTCTCCCAACCAGGTACTAATCTTTTTCAAATCCGATGTTAGCCCCCACAATATTGTCATTAACAGATTGGCATACTTGGTGCCAATTATATTGTTGAATTCCAAGATAGAAATTTGTTAGTGTTGGTATTGGTGATTGTGAATACATTTCGAATTTAAAAAAGGTAATTTGTATTCTGATTCGAATTCTAAAAGTAATTTGGATTCTGAAAATAATATAATTTTATATACAACTTATAAATAAAGTCATTTAAGGTCAGTTGCTTCTAGCAATAGCTTGTTTGAGTTATGATAGATATATAGTTTTTTGAATGGTTTTGTATACAATTGAAAGATGATGAGATCAACAAGTGCTCCATTTGTGATTGAACCGATCTTCATCACTCATCAAGACAAATGAAAGAGAACTGCAGTTTCTCCAGTAGAATCTACTTCGGTTGTGAAGACAACACATGGAATATCGAGTCTGGAAAGATCATATTTATATAGCTCCAATTTGTCTCATTTACTTCTTGTAAAAGAACTGGAATTGCTAGAGCCTTTTTTCTTTAAAGTAGCTACGCGAATTATTAACTTATCCATGTGTCTACATACACATTTAATGACAATTTCTGAATATTCGATAATAATTCTTCACATCTCATTTCGTTTGATAACAGTTTAAAAGAAGTAAGATAGTGAAAATGGCTTTAGGAAAGTGAGTTTAAATATGGTGGGTTTGAAGAAAATGAGTTTGGGGAAAGAGTGATTCAAGTAAAGTAGGTTTAGGAAAAGAGACTTTAAATGAAGTAGGATGAAAAAGAAAAAAAATAATAATAAATATTTGATTTATTCAATATCATATGTGCATACATGGATGTAAGTATGACCTTTATTTGTTTTTTTGTTTTATGTTTAAATAAATTTTGAAAAATATAAAATTTAAATTTAAATAAATTGATTTGAAAGACATAATTTTAAATAAAAGTATTTGATTTGAAATTAAATTAAATATAGTAATTTTAATAAATTAAATTTAGATATACAAGTTTAAAAAATGAATTTAATTATTTATTTATAAAAATTAAATAAAACACATTCGAATAAAATGGATTAAAACTCAAGCCAAGTAAGAGTACAAGAACTGAATTTAGATAAAAAAAAATAGATTTTATTATTCGATTATAAAAATAATAAAAATAATGGTAAGTAAAATATTTAGTTTACCCTTTACGCACGCACGCAGGCACGCACAAGGGGTAATAAAGGTTTACACGTGTATTGCCCGCATGCCCGCTAGGGCAAAGGGCAAAGCTTGGTGAGTCTAAACTCTCTACTGGGGCAAAGGGCAAAGTCTCATTAGTCTAAAATGTTTGATAGACCGGGGCCAAATCAGATGTCAAACATAGCTAGCCCTGCTCATGGTTTCAGTCCAAATCGGGAAAAAATCGGACCGGACAAGATCGATAATATCTAATTTAGTCCGATTTTGAACCATGAAGATTCGCGGTTTGGTTACGATTCAGGTTTTTTTGAATCAGAACCAGAATCGGAACCGTGAAAGAACCGGTGAATCAGAACCGGGAATGAACTAGTAATGAATCGTGAACCGTGAACCGGAATCGTGAATGAACCGTGAATTATGAACTAGAGCTGGTAATGAACTGTGAACTATGGACCATGATAAATTATAAAATATTTAATATTTTAAAAGTTTAATTTTTATTATTTAAAATTTTTCTATTTTTTCATTTAAAGTTTAAATGAAATATATTATATCTAATAAAAATTTAGAAGATTTTATTTTATTTTATTTTATTTTATTTTATTATTAACACTTTTTGTATGAAAAAAATAATTAAATAAGTTTAATTTAATAGATTGATAATTAATCCATTATTAATTATTTAATAATTAAAAAAGTTAAAATTAACCTGTTCGAGCATGCTACCAACAAATGTTGAAACTCAATTATGTGTTGATGATTGAACAAATGCCATGTATACACAACAAGAATTTATCGTAAAATCAAATCAAGAAGATGATGAAGGAACAACTGGAACTGGAAATAATAAAGATTAAGATAAAAGATAAGGGGGTACACTAATTAAAGTAAGAGAATTATATGAATTTTGATTCCTCTAAATGCCAAGAGGATATGTAGGCAGTTTAATTAATATACAATTAAATTCAAATCTTTTATTATCATTCTTTTCAAGTTATCTACATAATTGTCTTTCTTTTTTTTTTTTCAATTTATGTACTTAATTATAAATAAAATAATTTCTCATTTAATTTATATTGCCATCAATATTGCCACGATCTATTCCTTATCTCACGTTTGCAACTTGAGCGTAAAATTCAACCTCGAGAGAACCTGGTTTATCACCAATACTCATTCTCCATTTTTATTATTATTATTTTTATATTTAGTATTTAAAAGATATTTATAAGATTATATATTTATAATATTTGAAAAATATTTATAACTTAATATATAAATTTTTTATTGACAAAATTAAACCATAATTGAACCAAATCATGAATGAACCGCAAACGAACCGTGAAAGAGCCGTAAATAAACGAGACCATGAATGCACTGCGAACGAACCATGAATGAACCGGAATTGGTTGAGACTGAAACCACAAACTGGCTCAGCTTGGAATCGGAACCATGACGAACCGAAATCGTGAACCAGATTGGAATTGTGATTAACCGGAACCAGAATCGAACCGACGTTTAAGGTCCCCGTCCCAGTTCATAATTTTTTGGGACTAGAACTGGTGGTCCGGTCCCGGTCCGAGCTAGTTCACAGCCCGTGAACAGGGCTACATAGCCCTCGTAGGGTAGAAATAAAGTAGATTATAGTTGTTAATATATCATATTTTAATTTAAATTTAATTCGATTATTTAAGTTTTTAACTAATAAAAAAATTTGATAAATATAATCTGATTATAAAAATTTATAATTTAAAATAAATAGAGTGAATATAAATTTTATTTGATTCGATCCGTTAAAAATCTAAATCCGACTTGTACACACACACACACACATATATTATAAATAACATATTTAATATATAGTATGATATATATATATATCATAATATAAACTTAATTGATGGATTAAATGTAATTATTATGTATTACCAATAAACTAATTTCAAATATAACATTTGTAATAGATCAAATATAATTATATTATATTTTTAAATTTTAAAATTATTTATTAGTCTATTTTTTAAAGAATTTCTTATCTTAATTTTAAATTATTTTTTTAAAATATAAAATAATAAATATATAATAATCTAAAATTTAAATTCAGATTTTTGTGTCAAGTATCAAATTTTATTCGATATTATAACATTAAATATATATGTTATAAAAGTTAGACTTGAGTATAATATATAATTATCAAATACATATTAACGCTCATTTACGCAGACTGTGAGGTGTTTCTTTTTTTTTTGGGGTTTCAGCCCCTTTTGCACAGAGAGAGAGAGAGAGAGAGAGAGAGAGAGAGGTAGACCGTGAGGTGTTTCTTGGCTTTTTGGGGCTTCGGCCGCTTTCACAACCACAAAAATAAAAAAATGAGCAAAAATATCTTTCATCTCCGGTAGTTTCATCTCCTTTTCCTTCTCTCTTTGTTGCGGACTTAATTTACAGTACCATTCCAATATTTGGGGATGTTAGTATTTTCTTTCTGGCAAATATTACAGAATAATATTTTTCAAAAAGAGTATTTTAATTCTTTCCTCTTCTCATTTCGCACCTGGGCTGAAGATTACTGGAATCTCCGCATGGCATTGGTGAGGTTGCTAATTTATTAGCTTTTGTTGAGCACAACTCACGTTCAAAATTACGAGTAACTCAAAAGCGAAGTTCAAGATATGCTGCACTTGATAATTTGTAGAATTAAAGATAATCTTCCTCATCATCCTCTCCAATAGTTTCTACCCTTTCTTTCTCTTTCATGTACCCCTTCTTGATAAGCAACCATCTAATCGCCCGAACAAGGTTGCCACCCAAGACAAGAGCCATCACCGTATGCCATGATATCAGGGAAATCTTCACTACTTGAAACAGAGTGCCTTCAACACTATCAGGGGTCATCTGAAGGAAGGAGATGAAGTATGTTAAGGCTTGGGCAGTTATGGCGATCCACGTGATCACCATTTGAGTCCACATCCACCTGCGCCTCCTGAGGGGCAACCCGCTGACCTGAATGAGGATTACGCTGAATGACGCAAGGTACGCAATCGTGTCACATATCATGAAATGTGCGTACTCTTTGGGTTTGTTGTAGGCCATGACAGACTTCCCTGCTTCGTGTGGGTTTTCGACAAGGGTGCCGTTGGAGTCCTTCGTGTAATCACTTGGCCAGACGCCACCAGGTGGGGAGATCGAGGCCTGGAATGCCGTGGTTCCAAGTAATGATGCCACCACCATCAATGCGCTTCTCTTCCTCCCTAACCAGTCAGTGTGTTTGTGATTCTTAGGCTGCTGATCTTTGTCTTTCTTTTCATTGTCCTTCTTTACTTCGTTTGGCTTATTTCTAGTAGTTGATGGAACTTTTGAAATGTTGCCGATGACTGTATTGCAGGATGGTGTGTTGCTGATGAATGTTGTACTCTTTGCTAGTGGTACTCCACCACCATGAAGACACTCCTTGATATCCATGTCCCTCAGATCTCCGGACTATGTGACAAAACATCCAGAGCTGTAAAACCCTTTGCATTCCTTGTGCTTACTTGGACGGCCGTTTTGGTAAGCAAGTATCTTATGATCTGCATTACATTTGCAATTCATATGCATAATCATGAGTGAATTTGCAATTCATATGCATTAAATTTGATCACAAAGAAAACCAGTAAATATTTCAATTCCTGCCGAATAGAAATGAACTCGTAATTCAGAGTAAAGCATTGTGCGAAGATTTTTAAAACCAGCAGCGCTTTCAAAACTCAAGAACAACTGTAAGATTAGTGCCTGCGTTCAGAGTATCCCTGTTGTTATAGGCACTAGAAACAGAGCTTTGAAATTAACTGACCAGGTTGAGGAAGGGGTTGGGGGGGGGGGGGGGGGTTCTGCTTGCCGAACGAAATTAATTTGGCCATAAACGAAATGGGTATTGATAGAAATTCCCGTTGGTTCAGTCATTGCCTTAAAAACCAAAAACATCACAATTAGCAAAGTTGAATCCCACAACATTGCAATAAAAAACTCGGAGGTGAAGGGTAGGAAGAAATGGCTGAATCATAAATTTTGTACAACAATGTCATACTGTACAAAGTAAAATTAACAAACCCATAGTGAAAAATGCCACATCCGTTGACTTCTACTAGTTTTATTTCACCCGATCATATACTAATACGAATCTCTGGAACTCTCACCAGGTTCAAAGGGCTGCTAAAATTAACAATAATGGTTGATTGTGGATTGGTACCAGGGTTTTGAAATTAAAAACCACTAATTTGCTAGGGAAGGAGGGAGATAAAAGACATACCTCAATCCGCTTCTTGGCCACTGCAAGATGCAGGACAGTGTTACCCTCACCATCTTTCCAATTGACCAAATCATCCTTTTTGACAGAATCAACCAGCGCCTTCAAGACCTCCAAACGGTTATACTTAACACACAAGTGTAAACAACTCTCTCCTTCGCCGGTCAACATCGAGGCCGACTCTGGTTTGACCCGGATCAACTCGGCCAGAATCTCTACCCAGCCCTTGATTGCGGCGATGTGAACCGGAGATCTCCGCTCACGGTCCAAGACAAGGCACACATCCGGGTTCACCAGCAACAAATATTTCACGATCTCCGTGTACCCTTTGGCCGCAGCAATGTGAAGGGGCGTCGAACCATCAGAATTAATATCTCCGGCGAGCTCCGGCTTTCGACGTAGTAGCTCTCTGGCGAAGTCAAGGTGGCCCAGAAAAGTCGCTACGTGCAGGGGCGGGTCATAGATTGAAGAAGACGGTGACGTTGAGGTGAGGATGTTGGGCCCTTCGTGGAAGAGTTCCAAGAGAGCTTGTACCTCACCGTTCATGGCGGCTTCGTGAAGCTTTCTAGCTGTTGTTTTCTCTGTCGATACCTCGCCGTATTCCTTCTCCTGACAGAGTGGCAAAGGGTTTAGAAGGCTGATTCCGTCCATCTCTCAGTTTCCTCTCTCTCTCTTCTTTTTCGGATCCGGGGGTATTCTTTACATAAAAAATTTTGGGATTAAGACCGGTACCAGCAGTACCAGCTCCCGAGCCTCGGTTGGTATTGACCTGTGGAAATTATTTTTCCATGAAGTCTAAACAATTCGTAATTATTGAAAGTTCAGCAATTGAAAGATATTTTAAACGAAAAGTGAACCTAACTATGTTTCTAAGCCGATGCAAATTAACATCGCATGATTTGACTTGAATGTTGGAGAGCAAATTGTAAAAAGTAAAAGTCAAGCAAAATACAAGGACAAACTATTATTATTTTTTTTTTTTTTTATGTCAATTGGGGTGGTTGAAACGACACCGTTTGAGATTGGACTGACGTGGCAATGTCGGACAATATTGTCACTATTAAATATTAAAGGCAGCCTCCAATTTGGACTGGGTAATTAAAATTTCGTCATTTTTCATGGTTAAGGTCAATGTTCCACGCGCCTGGCAACAGGTTCTAGAAGCACAAAATAAAAATATCATGAAAGAAAAGCGCGTTCATGTTTACCTATCTGAGTAATACGAAAATGAAAAAGGGCAAAATCATGCGTTGAATTTGCCGAGGCTGTGTGTATTGCTAGAGATGGGGTCAGGGAGGGTTGGACTAGCAAACCCAAGTCGCCCGTGTCCCATCCCTCGTTTTGTTCCATCTCTCGTCCCTGACTCCCTGTATATGGGGGCCTGGCACACTGGTGTCTCAATGATATAGGATAAATAACAAGAGAAAATTTCATTAATCCCTTTTATCTATTTACTTCTCATTAGATGCATATTTTAAATAAAAAAATATTAATTATTTTCTGGACTGTAACTGTCAACACTAATTTTAATAATGAGAATTAACGAACCAATATTTTAGGTACCTTTATATAGAGCACAATGTTATAAATTTTATTAAATCTCTTACTTATCAGCTTTCTATCGAATATATTACTCAACTAAAACAATATCAAATACTTTTTGAATTTAATAAATCATTTACTATTACGTTTGAAATCTGCTAATGACAACATTTAAGTTGTTGAAGATTTTAGGCAAAAATACTCTTAGTGCTTTGTTATTTTTTTTTCAAGGAAATATAGAGGTACAGACATTGCAACCATCTTCACATTCTTTTTTTTGGTGGTAATCATCACTTCTTGTTGTAGTTTCATCATTTTTAATTTCATTTTTGCATTTTTCATCAACAGCCCCCTATTTATTGCATGCAAACTTTGCTCCAGATTTGAGATTATATATATATACACATATATATGTTTCACCATTTTCTAACCACTTATGGTACATTCCTGGTTCACACTAATCAAGATAGTTGCATTAATTTTCATCTTTCTATAATGAAATTCATATAATTAAGAAAAAGAATTTGTAATAGTAAATACAAGAGTATTTTACAGTCCATTTGTTACAACAAGTAAAAATTTAAAATTACATTTAAGTTTTTACAGGTTAGTTGCATTGGCGAGTTTTCTATAAGTGAAATGTGAATAAGTAATGTAGTATCTCAGATTATTGACATAAATGATAAGATTTTTGAGAATTTATTGGACGATTTGATTAATTTAATTGAGTTAAAAAATTAATAGTTTAATTTATTAAGTTAATACAAGTGTTGAATTTAAGCCCAAATTTGTATAAAGATTGAGGTGAATTTTGGACTTTGGAAGCCGAAAATATAATTAACCATGCTTATCCAATTAAAGCAATTGGGCTACAAAATATATAGCCCAATTTTCCGGCCATGATTGGGCTGCTAGTGTGGATTAAATTTACTGACTTGGTACACGTTTATTAGCCCAACTTCCGGAGGAAAGAGTTGGCCCAAACTTGAAATAGAATGGCCCACTTGTATTGTCCAATTTGGCCTAGAATATTTTGAAATGGGGTATAGTTGAGTTGTGAGCAAGCATAACAATTCATCTAGTGAATATTTGGTGTATGTATTCTTAGAAGGTGAACATTTGAACACCTTCATGAGTCATTCACTTGGTTAATTCAATGAGGTTGCAGATACATTTTATAGATATTCAATTTATTGTCAGTAGCCAAAGGCCAAAAAGTATGTTCCTAAGTAATTTTGAATTGATATTATGTATAGGTGATCTTCATTTCATGTACTATAGATATTTTTATAATTAAATTATGTGTTAAAATTGGTAAAATTTTATTACGTAAACATGCATGACAACACAAGTAAACTTGCCAAGGCTGGCTTGTAGAGATATCTTCCAAGAGGTCATTTTGTCGGGCAAAATTGAGGATTACATATTTTACACTAACCAATTAATTAAATGACAGATGAAAAATTAAACTAATAGATTCTTAAACATCAAAGTGATAGAAAGCCTTAGTAAAGTTTCAGGAAATCTAGAAGTCCTAGAAATTCAAACTAAAGAGGAATACTTCAGCCTTGTAAGCATTTTGACTGGGTTAGTTGGCCTACCATCGAAATGAATATTGATCCTCTTTTGTATGGTTCTAGTTTTACCAATTTAATTTTTTCCTCATTCAATTTTAAATTAATTGGATGAAAAGTAGCCCAAAAATTTATTGTAATTATGATCTTTCTATGTATTCATCATGATTTGGTGAAGATTTTCTAGCAATCACAATCCTATCTTGGTAATGATTTGAAAAGACAATGATTCCCCAATTTTATCATAATTTGGAGAAGATTATAATCTTTTTTATTGTCCACATGACATTTTTACTCTATAATTCTACTGACATGATCCTATGCTTTCTATTTTTTTTATTTATTTTTTCATTTGGGTCGAACCTCAATAGTCTATTTTAGTTGTCCCATTCTTACTAACAAATTGCTCAAAGAAATACTATAGTCACCCTTCACTGTTGACTTACCGAGCTAGACATGACAATGAGATAGTGTTCAAACACTCTTCTATATTCAAAACACACAGAAAAATGTTGAACACTATAACTCTTGTCTCGTTTGACTCAATCCAATTCAAATAAAAAATGCTGTCAATCATAAGTTTAACATAATCACATCCAATGAGTGAAGTTTATATAAAAAAACTATTAATTCTCAAACGTTTGCTATTGCCAAACCATATTTAACAAACTATCTTTGCTCAACTTTTCTCTCATCACTAAATATAATTATATTCAATAACTAAAGTTTACATAAAGAACTATTAATTCCCAAACCTCTATCACTACCAAATCATATTTTATAAACTTTCTTTATTACAACTATTGTCACGTTACTAAACATAAACAAAACCAAAAACTCTCTTAAAATTATGCAACTAACATGTTGGCCCAACCTCTTTCTAGTGTGACCTGAATGTTCCGATACAAGTGATGATATGTTACAACACACTAACTAATCTTGCTTTACATTTGCATCATAAAAATGGGATGAGACTACAATTCTATTGAATGACCTCTAGTCTAAGTTTAGTAGAAACAGATAGACTTTTCATACTGCATATATATACATATAAATATCCATAGTTCAGTTGAACATATGAATCTTTAAAAATATGAAACACATCATCGAAATAGCTTAGCTTATCGTATCTGAACATTAAATCTATATTAAGATAATAAACATAAAACATCATAAAGATTTTTGAAAATCGTTTGTGTGTGGCTGTGTACACACACCCACACACCCAATATATATATTATATATATAGTTTTGATCTAATGTATATAATAGACAAATCAAGCAGGCTAAAACATATAAATCTTTGACCCTCAATAGGGTAAAATCTGTTGGGTACTATTACACCATATAGTTTGTACCGTGATTTACCACTTCATAGTCAAACTAACACAATTTGTGTTGTCTAAGATCCCCATTGGTTCCAAAATCATGTAAAACTATTATTGCTCTTGTGGTTGCCTAATGTCTCAAAATCTAAGTGTCAAAATGCCATAAAATATATACCGGAGAGGATAACATAATTAAGTTGATTCTATTTTTTATATTAAAACATACACATTTGGGAATAACTCAGGTTTTCCATAAAGTCATTTTTTCAAAAAATAATAATAATAATAATTAAGATTAGAAAGAACACTACTCACTTGTCTTCTACTAAAATTTTCTCAGGCTTATCCCATTTGCACCTCTTTTGCCTATATTCTCCTCATATAAATTCATAAAATACAATATCTAAGTTTAAGCAACTTGTTAATAAATGTGTAAGATGCAAATGAATGTGGGAATCTTATATTTCTTAAATTCTTAATATATATATATATACATATATATTTGTGTCTAATATAAGCTGTTTTCAAGTAAAAACCCTTAAACCAAACTGGACTAGTCTAGATTATCTCTGAACTAACTCCAAATATCTTTGAACCAACCCTAATTACCTTTAAACTAGCTTAAACGAGCCTTAAATGCCCCTAAATCGGCCTGAATCGGCCTTGATTACCTCTTAACTAACTTGAACCAAGCTTAAATGCCCTTGAACCAGCTTAAACTGACTTCAAATACTATTGAACAAGTTTGAACCGAGTTCAAACACTACTAAACCTGCCTTAAAACCCCATAACTAGTTGATTTAGTTAAATAAACCATGAAATCAGATTGAACCAACCTAATAGTCATTAAAATCAGGCTAAACTGACTTAATAATCATCAAAATCGGATTGAATCGATCCAGTAATCCTAAAATCAGTGTGAAACCCTTAGAACCTAACTAAACTGGCTGGTAAAACCCTTGGATTGGTTTGAACTAGTTGAAACTGGCTCAATTAAACCAAATTGTCTACTGAACCAGTTAGACTTGGTTTAGCCAAGTTGAGTTGGTCTAGCTAGACCAGCACAAACCTAGATCCTATTCGGATGCTTTCTTTACTTGAAAACTTGAGAATTGACCTAGTTCCTACAAAAACAACTTGATTATCAAAAATTTTCAATTTCAAAGCTTACCTACTCTTTCGATCATGACCAATGGTTCTTAAACAT